CACCTAGTAAAAAATTAAAGAAAGAAACTGCATCAGTTAACCAAAAAAATTATAAAATAATTCAATTTATGTATGCATAATATTTTTATTTTATATAATCTATGTATGAATTGCAGTAAGAACGACAATAGATCGACCTGGAGTCTATTCTTCATGTTTTTACTCTTCCCAATTTTGTTCTTGTTAAAGTGATAACTGGAAACAGGGGGATGAAGAGTCTTACTCTTACGTCATCTTGACAGCCAAACTGACCTGCAGCAAATGAAAATGCAAATTGATATGTAAAAACATATATATAATGTATCTTGTTGTTTGAAGTATGGTCTTCCACCACTTCTCTCTTTTATATAAATACTTTCACGATGTTAAAAAGTATATATATATAAATACTTTCACATTTTCAACAAACTCCAGCCAATAATGGTTTTTTTTTGTTTAGTGATTTAGCATTCAGAAGGGTTTGCGGAAAACTCATTATTCAAAAACTCACTCATTAATGTAATATACATATGTTGCTAATACAAACAAGACTTAGGGAAGAATAAAGATCAAATACATACCATGATTTACATTGCTAATCAAATCTAATATTCATAATTTTTTTTTGGAAACTAGGTGTTCCCAAAGCACCAATGCACAAAACCACTTTAGCATTACTAAGGAATGAGTTTTTCTTCTCTCATCACATCAATCCAATACAAAATTGAATCTAGGGTTCTATATTTCCTCTTAAACCCAAACTTATCTACTTTATCTCTCCTTCCAAGAAGCTTGAAAGGACATCTAAACAGCACATCCATGAAAACCCAATTGGCCAAATCCTCAATCTTTGTCCGGGCAAGCTTCTCCTTCACCACAATCTCATCCCACACACGCTTTCTCTCACCCATCTCTCTCTCAAACCAGAAACCCTCATCAAACATTGACTCCTCATTGACTTGCACGCCAAGTTTCCTCCCTATATCCGGCCAAATCTCTTTCCAAGTGAACCCTACCCCATTTATAGCATTAAAAGCTTCACCTTTATCACATACTCTCCCACTAGTCGCAGCGAATATATGCTGTTCCGCGACTAGATTTGAATCAGACCCATCAATGTAACACTCTTCCCAGCATTCTCTTGTCCCTCCAAACACAAAAGGAAGATTCAAATACCTACACATGGCTCCATAAACACAAAGACTTCCCATGAAGTTGTAGAGAGTCCTTGTAGAGCTTCCCATAAGCAAACCGGGTCTCTGAACCGACCAAACAACCGAATCTCCAGTGATCTTCTCCTTCAGCAGATCCTCCAAAACGTAATAGAAATTCTTCCCAGAGCTCTTCCTCGGACACTCCTCGCTGTAATAACACAAACCAGAACCTTCTCCGCCACGTGACAGAGTCTCTCCGACCAGAGACACGTAATGCTTCATCCCCGTCTGGAGCGAGAAATGCTTTAACCGCTTGGCGTTTGGGAGAATCGCGTCCAAAGCGTTTGTCAGCATCGTTCTGTTCTGGACGCAGCACTCGTCGCTGTCCAAAGGATACTCGCCGGACCACGTGACCCAGAACACGTGACTCACGATGTCCTGTAATGGAGACAGTTTCTGTTTGGTCTCAGATTCGTTAAGCAGATCGCACGAGATGAAACTGTACATCTTCGTCATGGAACTGATATTCTCCGGATTTCGTGCAACGCCGTAGATTCTCCACGTGGGTTTGTTCGACATTGCTAGCGTCTTAACAATCTCTCGACCCACGAGCCCCGTGACGCCGAAGATCAACGCCACGTTCGTCTCGTCATCGTTTCTCTCTGTTGTGATGCTGCTGCCATTTTCAGACACCATTGTGTTTGGTCAGAGAGTTGTGGAGTTTGAATAAGATGGACCGTCGATGGATGTTTGATATTTATACCGTTAAGAGATTTAACTAGTAACTTAGAAGAGAAGAGTAAGCGTGATTGACGATTCAACGGGTTCTTGTGGAGTTTCAAGACTCGATGCCTACCTGTAATTCAAAAGGCTATGTTAGAATATTCAATCAACTTGCTGAGGAAACAGCTATCATTTAGCATAACAAAGCACAACTTTTTGTATAAATTAGTTGAAGTCAACAGTGTTCATGTTACATTTGTTTTTTTTCTTTGGATTTTTTTTTTTATTTGTGTAGAAATTACGAAAATGTGGAGTTAAAAACCCATTCATTATTGAGATAGCTGTGTACTTCTGTACCATTGCTTGCATTATAAAGTGTCTACAACTTAACAAAATACTTTGGGGATGACATAACTATACAGTTTCAGATACCTAATCGTTATAGTGTAGTTTCTCAAAATTTAATATGTATTTGTACTAAAAACACTGGTTCAAAAATCTAGTTAGTGTTAAAGTACATTAGATCAATAAGTTTTTTGTTTTCATGATATAAAATATCACAGAATCAAAATCAAGTTATCATGCAGGTATAAAGAAATTTTTATTTTACAATGTCTCAGATAAATTTTTTATGTTTCTAAATATATTAACAATTGTTGTATCTCAAATTTGTACTTGAGAAATATTGTATATTTAACAATTAGATGACCCATTTTTTTTAGTTTTGTGATTAATTCATAAAATCATTTAGTTACAAAATTTCACTATCTAATATATTTTTTAAAATTAATGCAGATTTTAATTTATTATTATCATCAATATCTATGTAAATGAATTGTATATAATTGTGTTGTTTTATTTAGGAAAAATAATATCAATTAACTACGCCTGATGTTGGGAAGTAGGTCAAACTCACTTCGTCCGATCTGCTCTGCATCGGATTGAGTCATTTTTACGACTAAAAAATTTGACCTGTTTGACCCGCAAATAAAATATATTATTACAATAAAAGTTTTATAAAATTTGAAAGAGAATTAACCCATTAATTAAATTCATTATTATATATTTTTAGACTCAAATAAAAATGACAAAATTGTCATTAATGATAAATTAAATTTGTATATAAGAATATAATTGAAAAACATAAAAAAATTAGTTAAACATAATATTTATGTTTTAATGGTATTGATGATATTTAACATATATTTTTAAGTTTATATATCACTTTAATTTGTGGTTGTGTAACGTGTTTCTCCATAATTTTAAAATAAACATCGTGTACAGCATTCTGTCCACTGCTTGATCGGACGGACAAGATTGCGAGAGGCAGAATATGGCCGTAGCGTGTACGTTGCCGGCCGGAATTTTTAAATTTAAACACTTCAAGTGGGTCCTGTTTATTTTATTAACAGTCTTACCGGTCAAAACAGAATATTAATCGAGAAGTACTTATTCAATAAACAAGTTACACTCGTGATAATATAACCCGAAGTCATATCGAATCTCATGATTCTCATCAAATGACACAAATTGACTGAGAAGTGGTTTTGATATGCAGGTTTGTTGATATGTAACACAGTACAAGTGTACAACAATGGAATCATAAAATAAGTAAGCAAAATAAATGCATAATAGTATGGTGGGATCATTTAATCGCAACGTAATTTGATTATAGAATTTGGAGACTGTCTGAGTTTTAGACAATCCTCCAAAGTGAAGAAACGTACGAACATAACTTACAACAATTTTTTTTTAAAAAAAATTATGGAAATATAAAACTAAATTTCAGGAATGACGGAATGCAAGAACATGAATTACAATATTATAAAACATATCACTGATAACAGTTTTGGAATAGTATAATTTTGTTGTTGATATGTTTATTTGGCAGAATATGAGTCAAAACCTTTGATCACGTATATACGTCAATCTTGTTCAATGAAACTGACAATAATTGTCTGGTCTGCGTTGGAGAAACTGAAAGAGTGGAGATTGGTACAGTGTATCTCTGGCCCCAAAGACATTGAAAAGCTAAAAACCACGAACACTTGGCTTTCTTCAAACCTTTAAAATGGACCATGTTTTGTGGTAGACCTACACATTACTCTGTTTTCAAGTTTGTGTCTTCTCCCTCATTTTATGCATTGAATCAACCCATTTCTCATATATTTTGAAAATTATTTCATTATCTAAACTATAAAAAGAGAAGTACAAATAAGAAATATTCCTTAATTTAATTACATGTTTATCCCACTAAAATGCTGACAAAAAAAAAAAAAGTTTATCCCATTAAAATTAAAACATCGTATTTTAACTCCTTTGTTTTTTAAACAAGACTTACATTTGGTATTTTATGGACTTGGTCCTTCAAATATAATTGAAGCCTAATCACTATATATTCTGATGAAAACAAAGTTTGAACATAATAGTTAAGTTTTGGTCCATTTTAATTATAAATTCATAATCAATAATCTAAACTAATAACTTCAATTAAATATCTTCTCATTTTTAATGTTTTTCAAAAAAATGATTTTCTTATTATTATTCTTTATCTAAATAATATATTTATATTTAAAAATCTCAATAACAATGTTAAACGTTATATAGAAAAACTCTGATATTTTACCGTTTACTTTACCAAATAAACTAAACAAAGCATACTAAAAGAAAAAACACAATCTCATAATTTATAAGTGAATACTAATCACACTGAACAAGACACTCCAATGTCAATCATGGATAACATAAAAGATATAAAAATCAAATTTATCACATTTTCAAAAGTTTAAAATATGTTTATGAAGAACAAACATCTATGCGGATGCGCATGTCAAAATCTAGTTTTAATTTAATTTCAAAGAATAGCAGCTGCAGTTTAGGGTTATATGTGATTTAAACATTTTAATGATTATTTGACCAAAAAAAACATTTCAATCATTAATTTCTTTTAGCAGTTACAAGATTGCAAAATTATTTTACCAGTTGGGCTTAATTGTCATGGGCTTCAGTTTGGGCTTAAATTTCATGGGCTTCTGTTTGGGCTTGTCTCTTGGGTCAAGTACAGAGATTTCCCAAAGACACAAACTAGTTGTGTTCTGTCTTAAAAGAACGAATCGAAAACATCTTTTTCCACGTTTCACCCGACGGATATAGATTTATCCGGGAACGGAGAAGCAAACTTCTAGATATGGCGGAGAAGCTTGCGCCGGAGAAGCGACATGATTTCGTTCACAACGGTTTCTCTCTCTCTTTCTCTTCTCTCTCGTCTTTGTTTCTCTGTTATTGCAGTCTGATTTAAACTTATTAACGTGATTTGATCGATTACGATCTTCTGATGTAATAGGGCAAAAGGTGTTTGAGTGGGATCAAACCCTTGAAGAAGTGAACTTGTATATAACTTTGCCTCCCAACGTTCATCCAAAGGCTTTCCACTGCAAAATCCAATCGAAACATCTCGAAGTTGGGATCAAAGGCAACCCTCCTTACCTCAATGTTAGTTTCTTTCTCTGTCTTTACACGTTTTGTATTTGTTTCACGATACATTTGACTAAAGTTTGTAACTTTTTCTCAGCACGATCTTAGTGCTCCGGTGAAGACGGATTGCTCGTTCTGGACCCTAGGTACTCCCTGGTTTCGTCTTCTTGCGTCTGTTTATCACCGAAACACTCGGTTGTTAGCTTTAAACACGTTTTATCTCTTGTTTTGGTATGAATAATAGACACTAGTTTAGAATTAGAAGATTTGAGAGTATACATAGATGGATGATGCAATGTTGTAGAACTTGCATGTTTTGATTTTGAGTATGATGCTATAGTTTGCAGCGATTTTAAGAGTGTAAATGATGTGATTATATGCACTCTCCTTCCCTCTTCTTTTTTTCATTTCATGATTTACATTTTACAGTATGTTTTTTTTTGGTTATTATTACCATCATCTGTAAATCACTGTTAGATAATCTGAAGTTGTGTGTTTGATTTGGCAGAGGATGATATAATGCACATTACTCTGCAGAAGAGGGAGAAAGGGCAGACATGGGCATCGCCGATTCTAGGACAGGGTCAGTTAGATCCTTACGCTACTGATCTAGAGCAGAAGCGGCTCATGCTGCAGAGGTTTCAAGAAGAGGTTAGTTTTGTAAAAAAAACTTATTGCTTTTGGTAAATTTTGCTTTCTTGTTGAAGGCTATCTTGGTATTGATCTCTAAAGAAAATCTGGGGCACCACCTACTTGGTAGAATGACTGTATGTCAAAATATAATAACTTTTCCACATATGATCCTCCAGTTGGGACCAGCCATGTCTAATCGATTGTTTTCTTTGATCAGGCTCTCTTATTGTTGTTTATTGTGTCTTTCTCTCAAGTAGTGAATATCTTAATGAAGTCTGCATAGATAGTGTCTGTGTTACTATGGTGATGAAATAGCTTGCTCTTTGTCTAACCGGATCCCTAACGGTTTGGAAACATCATGAAAATGGGCTAGAGACCAAATACATGTGTGCCTTAACGGCTGTGTCCTATTGTTTTGTCTTCTACTTGTATCCATAGCTTTTATTTACTTAGCTCAAGTATGCTCATGTCATATTTGTGCGTAATTTTTTATGCAGAACCCAGGATTCGACTTTTCGCAAGCTCAGTTCACGGGTAACTGTCCAGATCCAAGGAGCTTCATGGGCGGTATTCGTTCTGACTAGTCCTCCTCTACTCTTGTTTCCATACGATCCATTATAAAACTGCTTATTGCTTATCAAGGAGAAATGTCTCAATGCGCTCATAAACAAACGCCCTGACTAACTATCTTATGTAATCGTCTTTAAACTGTTTAATTCACTCATGAATAAACAAAATGCCTTACCTCGTCTCTGTGTTAGTTATTCTTGTATTCCCGACAACAACATCAGAATCTTCAAACAAAAGTTGAACAGAAGCCCGTTCATTCATCTCAACTTTGAATCTTGTTCTATAGCATGTGACAGCTTTTGTTGTCAATACAAATCGTTTCACGTATCTAACTTTATTGTTATTATTCTTCTTCATCAAAAAGATTAAAACAAAATTAAAATAAGAGGAAGGCGCGCGTCATCTTCCTCGCGACACATAAAAAAGGAACGAGTCTCGAGACGCTACGTCTAAGCTAACAGCCATTTGTTTTTGTCTCTTCCCACTTTCCCAACTATCTCCCTCGTAAACTCCTTCTTCTTCTTCGTCTTTTGTCTCTTTAGGCTCCACCTTCTCCATGATCCTCTCCCCCAGCCGCCCATCATGACTCTGACTCATTCTCCCTCGCATCAAACACCCAATCGCCGAGTCCTCATCGTGGGAAACTACTGCCACGACGTCCTGATCCAAAACAACACAATCATAGCCGAAACCCTAGGTGGCGCAGCCTCCTTCATCTCCAACGTCCTAGACTCCTCCTCCACCTCCATCTCCTCCGATCTAATCTCCAAAGTCGGCCACGACTTCAAATACCACCGCCACGTCACCCACCACCGCCCTCTCCTCTCTCCGGACAAGGACACAACTCTCTTCGAAGCCTACTTCGATCTTAAAATCGGGCACTCCGATCGTGTCCTAAAACGCGTCGCTGCATGCGACCCGATCCTCCCTTCCGACATCCCCGACTCTAGATTCGACTTCGGGATGGCCGTCGGCGTCGGCGGGGAGATTCTCCCCGAGACGCTCGAGAAGATGGTGGAGATCTGCGACGTTGTGGCCGTCGACATACAAGCTCTGATCAGAGTTTTCGATCCTGTGGACGGAGAAGTGAAGCTAGTGGATTTGAGAGAGAGTGGGTTTTATCATTTAATGGGTAGGGTTGGGTTCTTGAAAGCTTCGTCTGATGAGGCTTTGTTTATGGATGTTGAGGAGATGAGGCGTTTGTGCTGTGTGGTTGTGACTAGTGGTGAAAAGGGGTGTAGGATTTATGGTAAGGATGATGAGGTGGTGGTTGCTCCGTTTGTTGCGAAGCAGGTGGATCCTACGGGGGCGGGGGATAGTTTTTTGGGTGGTTTGGTGGCTGGGCTTGTGGAAGGTTTGGATGTTCCTGATGCTGCGTTGTTGGGGAATTTCTTTGGGTCCATTACTGTTGAGCATATTGGTCAGCCTAAGTTTGATTCCATGATGCTTCAGGTTTGGTTTTTGTTTTTGTTTGTGTTTGTGTTGCATGCTCTGAACATGGAGACAGTAGTGGAAATCTGATAATGTGTCAAGATTGATTTTGTTAGATCTTGTTTTATAATAGTAAGGGTGGTGCTTTAAAAGGATTGGTATGTATTTTTGATGGTACTATTACTAAGAACCGGGGAAAGTAGCGGTTGCATCTTGCAGGTTACTTTCAATATAATCAAAACCTAGAGGAGGTGGATTGATCTGATAGGTTTCCAATCTGAAAATGTTGTCAAGTCTTCTCATTTTTTTGTTGAAGATTATGTAGATAGGTCTTTTATTGTTTTAGTTGATAGTTAATAGGGTAGTATTTGCATTCAAACATAAGGAAGAGGCAGATATTAAGTGTTGGTTAAGCTTTGATTGAACAATTTGCAAGAAGAACTATCCGAAAACCCGTCTATGCTCTAAGAAACAATAGGATGTATGTATGGATTCCTATGTATTTTTTACTCTACCTGTTGAGTATATTTTACGCTGGTTTCTGCATGAGGATGCAACCCTTTTTTTAAATGTGTTATTCTTCCTCGGTGATGCAGAGAGTAAAGGAAGAGGTACAGAGAAGGAAGAAGCAGTGTAATCTTTCAAGCAGCCATAACAATGATCATAACGAGTTTCATGCGCGTTTAAGTCCAGCTCGGTTTCAGGACTCTCCACTTCAGCCAGAGTTATTGGTAAATGGTCATATAAGTGACATGATTGGTTCCTGTGATTAGGAATCTTTGAATTACCTTTAATCACTAACAACACTCTTCTGAATTGTGTAAACTTTCCACGTTGATGAGTTTTGGTAATATATTTAGTGTATAAACGCGATACCCCGGCGTCTTCGGTGGCTCTTTGTAGACGCCAATGCAGAGTTTTCGTTAGCAAGTTTCCCTTTTAAATTGAGATAATAGTTTAACTTTTTGCTAGTTTGCATGTTGTTAATTTTCTAATTAAATCATGTTGAAACAAGTCAAGTAAATCATGCTGAAAAAGTGTAAATAAATTAAAATTGATCTTGTCGTAAAGAAAAAAAATTAAAATTGATCTTTTAATTACCTTAGAGGCATAGTGGGTTGATCAAAAATTATAATTAAAGAGATTATGCTAAAAAGATAATCAACGTGGAAAAGACAATTTTGTTGTGGAATAAGCCATCGTTGCATTTATACGAATAATATAGAGAACGTGATAACCATTGATCTAACTGGTCAGCAAAGAAATGAAGCTATTGAAGATGCATCTCGTACTCGAATCATATGTCCCTTGTAAAGTGTACTCACTGAACTCAATCCCAAGTCTTTTCTTCTTTAGGAGACTATCTATCAGCGCTTTGTAATTACTGATCAAGCTTGAGAGATGTAGTAGAGTTCAGTTTCTTAGACTACACACTGGTTTTAGCTTTTGATCTTCAAATCATGTCGTTCTGTCTATATTCCTTTGCTAGATTCTGTGGATTATGTACATGTTGAGCAGAACTTGGCTTATTTATCCTTTTTACCTCCAATTTATCTAAAGAGTTATCAAACGATTTGGCTGACACAGAGAGTATGTAATAGGTTCAAACACAAGTCCTGCGTTCTGACATTCGTGCATTTGACAGAAATAAATCTCTAACTTAATTGAGATATTATAAGCAGCAGACAACTGAAATAAAAGCAGAATGATGGAATCTTTATCAAGTCGCTAAGATAGTCGTTTAAACACGAAAGTCGTCAAGCACTGAAGTTTCGCTCTTATCAGAGGATGAGATGGAGATAACTCCATGAGAGTTAAGTGTTTAGAGAGGAAGCTCACCACTGTCAACAATCACAACTTTACTCTTAGGAGATCCGCTCTGATTCCCTTCAGCTTCGATTTTGTACACCACGTCCATTCCCGACACTACCTTCCCGAATACTACGTGCCTCCCGTCCAACCTGTATCAAGAGTCCCAAGCTTTCTAAACAAAAAGAAGGAAGGAAATATATCGATTAACATGTTCGAAATGCCGCTGTTATTACCAGCTTGTAGTCACAGTTGTGATGAAAAACTGAGATCCGTTGGTGTCTTGCCCGGCGTTTGCCATTGATAGAAGCCCTGTGAAAGAACAAACAGTTGATCAAGTAAAAACACCTCGCTTAGGCAAAGAGCTTGTCAACACAGAGTACTGAAGAAGACCTCACCTGGACCAGTATGCTTGAGTTTGAAGTTCTCATCAGCAAACGTCTCACCATAGATAGACTCTCCTCCCATACCATTGCCATCGGTGAAGTCGCCTCCTTGGAGCATAAAGCTTGGTATGATCCTATGGAACGAGCTCCCCTTGTAATGAAGAGCCTTCCCTTTCTTACCTATACCCTTTTCCCCTGTGAATATATGAGATGAGGAAACGGTTTACGTAAGCTTTCATTGCAAGGTAAATCCACTGCTGTGGCAGATAAAAAAGAGTTAAATAGTATATATTCATTTTGTTCGCTAACCTGTGCACAAAGCTCGGAAATTCTCTGCAGAAACAAAAATTTCAGGAACGTCAGATGTTTCGATCATACCAGAAAGCTTGCAAACAAGAAAAATGTCAAGGGTAAAGGGTACCTGCAGTTTTAGGGACGGTCTTTCCATATAGACCCATGACAATACGACCTAGACATCAAAGCATAATCGTTTTCAGGGGAAAGCAATGAAAGTTCATGTAGTCTTCTTCTAATAAAGAGAGCATAAGTACTTATGGATCATAAGAAATTAAAACTCAGGAGCAAGGTTACACTACCAGCTTCTTTGCCATCAATCTCAACATCGAAATAAACCTTGTGTGTGATCTCCTTTAAATTCTCCTTGGACTTTTTGGCCTGCAATAAAAAAACATCCATAAATCAATACACACACACACTTCCATACCATTTCACATCTCATTCCAATACATTTGGGAAACATATTAGAGGCACTTGGTGCAGTAAAAACTATAGCTCTCCGAAAATATACAAATCGAATGATGCTGAATCTGAAAGTAACAAATTCATAATCTCTTTTCGAATCACATCTCAACACACACTAATATATAACTCGCGATTTAAGTGATAAAGATTCGTTCCCTGATCCTACGAGAAATCAAATCCCTAAATCGTCAGAGACGATGAAAACTAACCTAAAAGCTTACCATTAAACAATCGCAATTCAAATCGGTAAAATCTAGAATCGATCGAATAGTGAGAGTACAAAGCTCAGAGTACAAAAATGTACCTGAATCGCGCTTAGGGTTCCGAGAAGAAGAAGACTACATAGAAGCAGCGTCGTCACTGAGCTCGCCATCTCGCACCGTTCAGTAAATTGTTTCTCGCCCGAGTCTCCTCTATATCTACCTGCGCGTAACTTAGAACACGTCGCTATCCAATCATATTCCGCCACCTGGTATATCGTAAGTGCTACTAATAGAAAAATTGGGCCTCGGCTCATTTATAACAGTAGTGGCCTATTAGTTAATTAGTTACGGCCCATTGATCTTTTACTCACCACTTAACTTCTTTTGATATCATAAACGCTGTACGGTTTTTCGAGTTGGCAATCCGAATGGGATGACAAGGCGATGACAAGGCCCGGCCGGATGATAAAATCATTTTTTAAACACTCACAAAAAGTCTTTTCTAATTTAAGTCAAAACAACTAACAAGACTCATAATTCATGTCACATTATTACTCCTGGCCACCTAAGATTATTCTGGTTTTTAAATTAACATCAGTTACTATCATTTTACTTGCCACGTTTCCTTTCACATTTAATATTGGATTTATACATGTTTAAATATTAACTTTCTCTGGCACAATCTTTTTATATATTTTTTTTTGTAGAGTCAAGATTTTTTCGCTGTACAGTATGATTTTTATAATTAGAGGTGTTTAGATCGAAAACCCAACCAATTTTTAAACCTATCTTTTTATAAACTAAAAATACCGACGATTAGTCTAAACCTATGTTTTCTAATGAAGTTTCAAACTTTGTCTCATTTTCATATAGGCAAGTTACAACAACTCTGTTATTATTATAAACTGAATCTAGGACTAACAGATTTAGACTTTATCTCAGATCAACCCCTTTACTAATAAAATTTAAAGTTCTGTATTTTTCGTGCCAATCGCTATTTACTTTACTGTAATTGACACCTATTAGTCTATTATTACTTTACTCGATTAAAATTCAAGATTAATACCTTCTACCTTTTTTGGTGCTTAAAAGTAGTGGATATGGAAAACCAAAATAGAAAATAAAATAAAAAAAAACACCTTTTTTGGTGCTTAAGATCTGTCTCTCCCCCCACTAATATAGCCGATACTTTTTTTTTGGTTATTATCTTGCTGTTTCAAAATATCTGAAATCTGTTTTTTTTTTAATACGTGTTCACACTTCAAAGAAAATCTAAAACAAAACAAATAAATATTTTTTTTTGTTTTTTCTTCTTATTCGTTGTGTTTATGGGGGAAAACATGGGAAAATCTAATTAAATTATTACAAAACAAAAACGAGTTTTTCAGTAAACAAGTGGGTTCAGATGTGAGCGTGTCGAGGTTTGACGAGGAAATGATTTGCGTATTTAAGTAGAAGCAGAAAAAGAAAGAAGGTATATCATCACCACCTTTCTAGTTTCTACCTTCTTGGATCTAAACAAAACGATACACATACATACACACATACATACATAGAGAATACAAGAGATGGGCAGTTACAGAATGTGTCTCTTCTTCAAGAGGAAGTTCAGGGTGACGGAGCCCGGTCCGGTTGATGACGTCAGAGACGTCTTCTCGAGATACGCGGATGGTCAAACTCACATGTCCCCGGAGCAGCTACAGAAACTCATGGCGGATGAGAGAAGAGATGATTTAGGATCGAGTCTCGAAGATGCGGAGAGGCTCGTTGACGAGGTGCTTCGCCGGAAACACCACATTGCAAAGTTCACCAGACGAAACCTCACTCTTGATGATTTCAATTATCTTCTCTTCTCCACTGAACTCAATCCTCCGATCGGCGATAAGGTTAGCTTTTCTCTCTTGAGTCAACGGAAAAAAAAAAGTCTCTGATTTTTTTCCCGGAATCTGTGGGATTGAAAGTTTCTATATTTAGAAACTTCCATTTTGGTTACTTTCTATTTCAGGAGTTGTTTCCTTAGGAGATATTTTTTTGGCTCTTCTAGCTACAAGTCTGGTTTAGGAATGTTTGATATTGTGAGTTGTTCTAAAAAATTGGTGTAGGCCGTGCCTAGTCGGCAAATCGGATCTAAAACAGAACAACATATAAAAAAATCGGTTTTGAAACCATTCAAAAAATGTCCGTCTTAATAATCTTCTATAAGGGGCTAACCACTGCCTAGCGATTTCTTGAACATTGGGTTTAACCAAATGTTGGATCATTTTTGTCAGGTTCATCAAAACATGGATGCTCCTCTGTCACATTATTTCATATTCACAGGCCACAACTCCTACTTAACCGGAAACCAGCTGAGTAGCAAGTGCAGTGGCCTTCCCATTGCAGATGCATTGAGACGAGGCGTGAGGGTTGTTGAGTTGGATCTATGGCCACGTGGAAAAAATGATGTCTGCGTTAAGCATGGAGGGTATGTATATATATATATATATATATATATATATATATATATATATATATATTCAGTTTGGTTCTTGCTCTTACTCAATTTAGATGTTGTACTGTTAGTATTCTCATTCTAGGATCAAAATTGCAGGACCTTGACCAAGCCTGTGAAACTAGGGAAGTGTTTGGAATCCATTAAAGCTCATGCCTTCACTACTTCAAAGTATCCTGTTATCATCACTCTTGAAGACCATCTAACTCCTAAACTTCAATCCAAAGTTGCCAAGGTTTTCATTCTTCTCAGTCCTTAAAAGAAATCATGGTTCTTTCAAATGTATACGATGAATATGTGATTTACTGTAACGTTTTGCAGATGATAACTCAGACATTTGGAGAGATGTTATATTACCATGATTCTGAAAGTTGCAAAGAGTTTCCTTCTCCAGAAGAGTTGAAGGGAAAGATTCTTATATCAACAAAACCTCCAAAAGAGTACTTAGAAGCTGATGATGCCAAGGAGAAAGATAGTGGAGAGAAAGGGAAGGATTCTGATGAGGATGTATGGGGCAAGGAGCCAGAAGAACTTATTTCTACTCAGTCTGAACTTGACAAGGTTTGTACTTTCTCTTAAAAGTTTAATAGATATTACTCTTAGCATGAGGCCTTTGATTTGACTGTGCATGTTCATTTTCTCCAATTGACACCAGTTTTTTAATTGATGTCAGGTCTCAAATAGCATAAACTATATTAATCAAGATGATGAAGAGAGGGGTTCTCGAGATTTTGATACGTCATGTTCATTACAAGCACCAGAATACAAACGTCTTATTGCCATCCATGCCGGGAAGCCCAAGGGCGGTTTAAAGATGGCTTTAAAAGTTGATCCAGACAAAATCAGGAGACTTAGCCTAAGCGAGCAATTACTTGAGAAAGCTGTAGCATCACATGGTGCAGATGTTGTAAGGTATTTGTTAATAACCACATGCTAAACAACACAATATATAGCTAATAGTATTTTCTTATAAGAAACTTCACAATGTGATCAGATTCACCCAGAAGAACTTTCTGAGGATATATCCCAAAGGCACAAGGTTTAACTCTTCAAACTATAAACCTCAGATTGGTTGGATGAGTGGAGCTCAAATGATTGCATTCAACATGCAGGTTTGTCTCAAATCTTCATTCTTTTGTAAAATAATTGGCTTCTTTTACCGTTATGAAGCTAAATGAAAACATAAATGCAGGGGTATGGAAGAGCATTGTGGCTGATGCAAGGAATGTTCCGAGCCAATGGTGGGTGCGGTTATGTCAAGAAACCAGATTTTCTTATGAATGTAGGTCCTAATGGACAAGTTTTTGATCCCAATGAGATCTCATCTCCAAAGAAAACTCTAAAGGTTGGTTACATATACTGTTGGTTCTATCTCCTACACCTTCAAAAAATCTTGCTTAACATCTAAAAATGGCAGGTTAAAGTCCTTATGGGAGATGGATGGCACCTAGACTTCAAAAAAACTCACTTTGATCGCTATTCTCCTCCAGACTTCTACGTTAGAGTATGACTATTTCAATCTTGAATCTTTCCTTTTTTTTGTTTTACCTTAAATCTTGAACTGGAATTTGACCTTTTGACCAAATACAGATTGGTATTGCTGGAGCACCTGCTGATAAGGCAATGGAGAAAACAGAAGTTAAATTTAATACATGGACACCCATTTGGAACGAGGAGTTCACATTCAAGTTAACTGTTCCTGAGCTTGCTCTTCTCCGCGTTGAAGTGCATGAGTACGACAACAATGAAAAAGATGATTTTGGAGGTCAAACTTGTCTACCAGTGTCTGAGTTAAGGCAAGGCATACGCGCTGTTCCACTTTACAACAGAAAGGGAGTGAAGTACAGCTCCACGCGACTTCTTATGCGCTTTGAGTTTGTCTGAAGACGACAGTTTTGGTTCGTGTATCCATATAGGACTTGTATCTATTGTTATGTTTTATTATGTGAGGAGTTAAAAAAACGAATGTTTTACCTGAGTAATATATAGATCTTTTGCATTTCTTGTGAATTTATAATGCTTAAAATAGTTATTTTTACTCATGTGGACTTGTATAGATCAAGAAGCTTCATATCTTTGTCTACATTATTTATAGTTGTTTAAGCCTTTGTCTCTCTGTTTTGCTGCACTAAACACGTGAAATTTTAAAGTAAAGGTATAAATATACTAGAATCTTTTGTTGTTAAATGAATTTTTTAGTACTAGTTAATCAATATTCTTTTTAGTGTAACTTTACATTTAACTATCTCAAGGGTATTTATTCTTAATCCGTAGATAGAGTCCACACCACCCATATATATATATGCTTATTAGTGAAGAAAGAAAGATTCTTTCATTCTGTTTTATCTTTGGACAGTAACTTACAGATGTTTTTAGATTCTTCAAAGACTTTATAAGCATTTTAACAATGACTTGAGAGGTTTTAGGTACCGTGAAATGTGGAAGGAAAGAAAGAAGTTAAAAAAAGTATAAGAAACCCAATCGTTGAGTCCATGAAGCTTCCATGCACAACATCATATGCTTCTGGAATTAGATACCATACTAATTGTTTAAGCTGGTTCTTTTTGAAAGTAAGTTTTTTTCAACATGAGTCTTCTTGGATGGGAATATATGGTAAAGGAAGAGGAAAGCTAAGAGCACTGAGCATAAAGAAGCATACCACTATAACAATAATAATATATGGAAGAAAAAAAAGAAAAAAAAAAGACTTAAGTCATAGTTATTGTTGAATATGAAGATCGTGCCATATATGGAGGAGTTGTTAACTAACCAGATATAAATACTTGCTGGTGAGAAGATAACGTGATATATCTTTTTATTGCTTTTGGGGACACAAAAAGACTTTGGATGAAGAGAGAGCTTGGGAGGTACAAAATGGGTTTGTGTTGCAGTGACAAGTTGAGGATGAACAGAGGAGCTCCACCTCAAGATGTGGTGGCTGTGTTTGTAGACTACACCCAGGGAGGGAACCACATGACTGCAGAGCAGCTGTGTCGATTCTTGGTTGAGGTGCAGGGAGAGACCGAAGCGTTGGTTTCAGATGCAGAGAAGATCATAGAAAGAATCACAAGTGAAAGACATCATATAACTAAGTTCTTGAGGCATTCTTTGAATTTAGATGATTTTTTCAGTTTCTTGTTCTCAGATGATCTTAATCATCCAGTTGTTAATAAGGTATTATCTCCCTCTCTCCTAATGTTTTTTGTTTTTCTTGATACATGGAGAGTTTCAATCATTGAGGTTATGTTGTTTCAGGTGCATCAAGACATGGCTTCTCCCTTGTCTCACTATTTCATTTACACGAGCCATAACTCGTATCTGACTGGGAATCAAATCAACAGCGAATGCAGCGATGTACCTCTCATTAAGGCCTTGAAGAGAGGTGTTAGAGCTCTTGAGCTTGACCTGTGGCCAAACTCTACTAAGGACAACATACTTGTTCGACATGGCTGGTATGTTGTTGTGTTATGATGTATATTCTTGGTTGAAAGTTTGTCGGAAAAGATAAAGAGAGTATGTTTTGATGCTTTATAGGGCATGGACACCTCCAGTGGAACTGATCAAATGCTTGAGATCTATTAAAGACTATGCCTTCTCTGCATCTGCATACCCTGTGATCTTAACTTTGGAAGATCATTTGACCCCAGATCTTCAAGCTAAAGCAGCTGAGGTACTTTCTTGAACTCATTGACGTGTTATTTACAGAAGTTCTTGAAAAATATAAGGAGTTTATATTTGGTTGATGCAGATGATGAAAGAGATATTCATGGATATGGTGTATTTTTCTGAGTCTGGTGATCTTAAAGAGTTCCCTTCACCAGAAGATCTCAAGTACAAAGTTGTAATATCCACAAAACTTCCCAAAGAGACGTTGAAAAAGGAAAAGGATTCCGGGTCAGATGTATCAGGAAAGTCATCATCAGAAGATGTTTCAGCAGATGACGAGAAGGTATTTTGTAGTCAATATTTCTCAGTTTAAAGTTTCTCAATGTTATCTTAGTTTCTATGTTTGCTTGCATGCAATGGCTTGTATAGGCTGAAGAGACATGCCATGCCAAAAATGAAGAGGAAGAAACAAGTGAAGCCAAAAACGAAGAGGAAGGATTAAATAAAGAATCTAGCAGCAACTTGGATCTCCTCACATACAGTCGTATGATATTGATTCCTTCTGGAAACGCTAGAAATGGATTGAAGGAAGCACTTACGTTAGATAATGGTGGAGTTAGACGTCTGAGTTTGAGAGAGCAGAATTTCAAGAAAGCCACTGAGATGTATGGAACCAAAGTCATAGAGTAAGTATCACAGTGACCATTCAAAACAAGCTATTGCTTTTGTTTTCTCTTGCTCCATGCTCATTACTCAAAATCATAATCTTAGATTCACACAGAAGAATCTGTTGAGGATATATCCAAAGGCAACTCGTGTAACCTCCTCCAATTACAAGCCATTCAGCGGTTGGATGTACGGAGCTCAAATGGTTGCTTTCAACATGCAGGTTTACATTTTTGTTAATATATTTTTCTCTAAGGCCTGCCTTTTTTCAACATTTACCAAAACCTCATGCATCTTGTAACTCTGATGTTCAGGGGTATGGAAGAGCTCTCTGGATGATGCATGGTATGTTCAGGGCTAATGGTGGATGTGGATACGTGAAAAAGCCAGCCTTTATGATGAACAAAGGTCCGGACGGAGAAGTGTATGATCCTAAAGCGAAGCTACCTATGAAGACAACTCTGAGAGTTAAAGTATACACGGGAAAAGGATGGGACTCTGGTTTCCAGAGAGCGTGTTTCAACACTTGGTCTTCTCCTAACTTCTACACAAAGGTAAGCAACTCATTACACAAGTGTCTAGTAGTAACTCCGTCGCTCGGGTTCAATTCTCGTTGGGAGGGACTATTTACATTGATTAGTTTCCGGCAAAGAGATGAAACCATCTTTTAATTACAAAAAAAAATAAACTCATTACACAAGTACCACTTTGATTTAGACGCTTATTACATTGTTGATTTTCTACTATGATGGGCTCTATTTTCTCTGTTTTCATATCCATCAAAATACTTTTGTGAGACCAGGTGGGGATAACAGGAGTACGAGGAGATAGAGTAATGAAGAAAACAAAGAAAGAAGAAAACACATGGGAGCCATTTTGGGACGAGGAGTTTGAGTTTCAGCTTACAGTACCGGAGCTGGCGTTGCTGAGAGTTGAAGTTCACGACTACAACATGCCAGAGAAGGATGATTTCTCCGGGCAGACGTGTTTGCCTGTGGCGGAGCTGAGACAGGGTATTCGTTCTATTCCTTTGTATGGTCGCAAAGGCGAGAGACTTGTTGCGGTTACACTTCTCATGCGCTTTCAGTTTGTTTAAAAAATATCAGAGTTTCTTTCTTCTACTTATTACCATCCCCTTCAAAAGTGTTTCTAGCAGAGAAGTTTGTACCGCAGAAAACAAGACAATATCCGTACATATACAGCGAATCAGATAACTATATGGTTGGATATGTATATTCTGAAATAATAGTAATCTTTCAGATATATGAATGAGCTTATTATATATGTATTGTTCATAACTTGTGATGTTGAGTTTTGCATATTTTTGACCGTTTAATAAAGATTTATGTATCAGTTTTTTAGAAAAAATTGGGTCGCTAAACTCTTACATGTCTTTCTTTTTTTTTTTTTTTTGTAACACAAACTCTTACATCTTTTTAAAGTGAAATTCATATCATATAATTTTTTATTGAAAAATATAACTCTTTCTAACCAAATTTGAACGTTGTTTCTTTGCGTTTCCATGTTAGTTTGATTATAAGTTTATAGTATAGAAATGAAAATTCAAAAACAAGGATTCAAAGGATTTTTATATTATTTTTCTTTTTGTCAACACATTCAGAAGTTTAATATGGATAACTTAACTTAGGGCTGGACACAAATACATATTATTTGCCGTAAACATGTTATTCACCCTGTACGTGTCTCTATTTTTCAAATAGTAGAATTTAAATATTTGTAAGTACAAACTAAGTAACAAACATGTAAAAAAAAAATGAATCTTCACCTTAATATTACTCGTTACTTGCTCATAAAAGATGTTTTTGTTATTGTTTAAAGTAAATAATGTTCCAATAGAAAGATTCATATTTTTCTTCATTCTTCTCCTTTATAATATGCAAAAAAAATTTGTTTATATTAGTTCTTGGTTTTGTTCTTTATAATTTTTGTGATAATAGAACATTATTTAACAAATAATTCTTAAATATTCAAAATTACATTTATGTTAATATTCTCAAGTAACTCATACGTATTTACTCGTAACTCACAAATACGTGTAAATAACAAGTAATATAACATATTTTTCATTCAGTTTAAATTTTTTTTCTTTTGAACAGATTCTAGTGCTCATTACGTAATTTTCACGTTGTTAATAACCCATCAGTAGAGATAAAAATGGCGATGGCGATTGCGATAGAAAGGGCGATTTAGGGTTTCACACATGATTCCTTTTCAAGATTTAGGGGATAATCGGGGATTGTGGGTATCAAAGGTCTTAGGCTTCGACGGATTTCCAGAGGGGCTTTATCATCACAAGATCGATGGAATCGGGACACTTCAGGCAACTAGATTGTCTTTCATTTATGGTTTAATCACGACGAAGATTCGATCTCTGCCTTCGGTTTGCTCAATCGGAGTTGCAGAGAAGATGGATACGGTGAATCAGAGGAATTCATTGAGGCTACAGCAAGATGTATTCCAAGTATGGAATATCCGAGGTATGAGAATCACGATATTTCCTCGATTGAGTTTGGGAATATTTGGGTTTAGAATAAGTTTATTTTGGCGTATCTGTTATGATGCCCAGATAATATGGATTCACAGGAAAAAAGGAAGGTCTTTACTTTTATTTTTTTCATCTAATTGGCTTCTGAAGATCTCATCATATTGTTTGCGGGGCTGGGTCTTGATTTACACAATCCAGGAGGATATTTTATATTTATTTCGAAGGATAGAGGCGGGGTATAAAAGGATCGAGGGATTGAGTTTCAGTCTCATCATTCTCATTTCTCTCTTATCATCAAACATACTTCACTTACGCTATTTTTTCAAGATGTCTCAGGGGAAGCTGGTTGGCACTTCGGGAAGCAACTCTGGTACGGAGAATATCATCAAAAAATTGAAGATCTCTGTTCCTCACTTTGACAACTCTGATCTCATCAAGGGGTACTCAAGAACTCTGATTGGCCGGTGCATGAATCCAAGCAAGCAAGATGTCAATGTGCTCATTACGGTGCTCCCGAAGATATGGAAGGTGGAAGATAGGGTGGTTGGAGCAGATTTGGGGCTTGGGCGTTTTCAGTTTGATTTTGAAAAGGAAGAAGACATTGAAGAGGTCTTGAAGATGCAGCCATTTCACTTCGATTATTGGATGATTTCCTTGGTGAGATGGCAACCGAGAGTGGACAGAAATTACCCATATGAGATCACTTTTTGGGTAAGAGTTTTGGGAGTCCCGTTGCAACTATGGGCCGCTCAAACTTTTGAACATATCGGCAATGCTATTGGGAGGTTTCTGGAAGTAGACATTGACTATGGCAGAGTCAAAGTGGTAGTTGATGGTTTTAAGAGCTTGGTTTTTGAGACTGAAGTAGATTTTCGTGGAGGTGAGCATTATGAGGGAGATGAATTACCGATATCCCTCCGGTATGAGAAATTATTTGGCTACTGCAGGAAATGTTTTAGCTTGTGCCATGACCTTCTTAAGTGCCCATTAAGCACAGAAGTTGCACACAGAGGATCAGTGGATCAAGCTGAGGCGGCTCAGAATTTTGGTGATCGGTTTGCTAGTTACAAAGGTATTGTTATTAATGGAACTGAGGAGGGAAAGGATCAAGGTAAGGCTAGGGTGGATTATCAAGGTAAAGGGAAAGGAAAGGTGTATGAGGAAGAGCAGTCTCATTGGGTCAAAGTTGGGGACAAGAGTGGTGGGAGAGACACTAGAAACAGAGAGAATTTCAGAGGGGAAGACCGAGTGTCCAATTACAGAAATGTCCACCGTGACAGAGCCAGGTATGGAGCTCAGGAAGATCGTGCTTTTTCTTCGACTAGGGGGTGCGAAGAGAGAGGGAAAGGAGCCCAAGAATTCACCGGGACAGGTACACCTCAAGAAGGTACGATGCTGCCAGAAAGGAGAGTTCAATGGGGATGGATCAACCGCGGGTCCAGGATAGAAGGGAAGAGGAAACTCTTTTAGAAGCTACCAATAGAGACGATGTGGGACAGGAAGTGAAGAACGCTGAGGATGGGTTACCTGCTGAGGATAACCTGGATCTTGCTAATGAAGTACTTGAGGCAATGTACATCACTGAAAAAGACGAAGAGGGGATGGAGCTGGATGGAGTGGAACCACAGGTGGACCTGGTGGAAGCGGGGAAGGAGGACGATGGTTTCCAGGATCTCACTGATACAGAAGAAGAGGTAAAAAATAATGATAATCATGATTCCCTTGCGACTGGTGATGTAGGCGCGAAGGATACGGTGCAGGAAGAGGGTGAGTTTGTGCAAGATACTGTCGAGGGAGAGGAAGGGAAGAAACATGGGCTAAAGAAGAAGCCTTTTCGAGCAGGGACGGCTGCTGCAGGGGGTACTTCAAAGCTGCGAATGGTGCAGGCAATCATCGCTCATAGCAAGCGTGCCTCTGCAAAGAATGGCGCACGTTAGGAAGATGGCACTAAGAAGATGTCTGATAAGGGTCCTTCAAACCCTAAGGCAAGTACAACTAAGAATTAGACTCCCATGATAGAGCACGATGCAATTGTTGCAGGGTTGGTTTTGTATTCCCCTTATGGTTTTTTCTTATTCTCTTTTCAAATAAGCTGTTTCAGCAGTTGTTGGTTTTTGTGGTTTAGTTCCTTTTCTTTCTTTATCATGTTGTATGGGTCGGATATCAGACCTGTGGTTACGTTTTGGAATAATAGTGATGCTTTTGGTTGCTGTTGGTATGATGATTCTCCTGATTTACTAGGTTATGGTGACAAGAACTCTTTTATCTTCTGCTGGACACAAACATGTTGTATGACTCATTTAATCACTATCGATTATGGTTTTAGCGACCTCATGGTCCCAGGCTCACCCTCTGGTCTTGACACATTATGCTGGTTACACAGTTTTATTTATTTGGTTTTCCTGGTTTCAAGGACTCTTGAAGATCTATGGCTTCTCTTGTTCTTGGTATACTTTCAGTTTCGGATTAAGGTGCAATGGTCTATGGTTTTATTCTGGCAGTGGTGGGTCTCATCAAACCACTCACAAGCTCCTTATCGGCTCCCAAGGGATTTGCAGGGTGCCGACGTCTCTCGTGCTTCCATGCTATTTGTGTGGCTAATATCATTAATGGTCAAGGTTTCTATTTGGTATGTCATGGATAATTTCTTGTGGATGCTTTGTTATGAGGAGAGTAAGGTTTCATCGTATCCTTCTCTTGTAAGTTCTCGGCTGCAAATTTAATTTATTATGAAAGTACTAAGCTGGAACTGTAGAGGAATGAGAAGTAAATGGACAATTAGTTATCTTCGGGAACTATGGCACAAGCATAAACCAGATTTTTTATTTTTATCGGAAACAAAACAAGAGTATGAGTTCGTACAAGGGTTCCAAGCACACTTTGGATATGATAACTTGGTTACGGTTGACCCAATGGGCACAAGTGGGGGTCTGGCTCTTTTTTACAATAATGAATATCAAGTGAATACTTTATATTCGAGTAATCGGATGATTGATGTGGAGGCAGTGGCGCTGGGGAAAAAAATGTTTCTAACTTTCGTGTATGGAGATCCGGTTCAAGCATTAAGGGAACAAGTATGGGAACGATTAACTCGATACGGTTTAGCAAGATCAGAACCATGGTTTATTATTGGTGATTTAAACGAGATAACTGGAAACCATGAAAAAGAAGGGGGTGCGTTAAGGAGCTTGGCTTCTTTTGTTCCTTTTAATAATATGATTCGAAATAGTGGGTTACTTGAGTTTCCGGTGCGAGGAAACAAGATGTCTTGGCAAGGACGTAGAGGGAAAGGGAAAGGAGCGGTGATGATACGGTGTCGCCTTGACCGAGCACTAGCGAACGAAGAATGGCATACACTATTCACATGTTCCTATACAGAATATTTGGGAATGATTGGCTCGGATCACCGACCAGTGCTTGCACACATGGAGGACAGAGTCTCTAAATGAAAAGGACAATTTCGATTTGATAAACGGTGGATTGGGAAGGACGGCTTTATGGAATCAATTGTAGCTGGTTGGGCAGATGGATCCAATGGCAAGGGTGGTAGTTTGGTCACAAGGATTAGTAATTGTAGGCAGGCGATTGCGAAATGGAGAAAAAACAACCCACCATATGGTAAGGAGAAAATTCAAGATCTTCAAAGGGCGCTTGAAGAGGTACAAATGGATGATAATCGGACACAAGAGGATATATTGGAAGTGTCTAGGAAATTACAGGATGCATATAAGGATGAGGAAGATTACTGGTATCAAAAGAGCCGTAACATGTGGTATTCTTCGGGAGATCTCAATACAAAATTTTACCATGCTTTAACGAGACAAAGACGTGTACGTAACAGAATAGTGGGGCTCCATAATGATGTTGGAATGTGGATAACAGAGGAGAAAGGCGTGGAACAAGTAGCAGTTGACTATTTTACGGAATTATTTACATCAATTTCCCCATCTGCATTTGATACTTTTCTTGAGGAAGTTCCTACCAGTATTACCATTCAAATGAACCAAAGATTATTAAGGATGGCCACAGAAGAGGAGGTTCGGCAAGCTTTGTTTATGATGCATCCGGAGAAGGCGCCTGGTCCTGATGGAATGACTGCACTTTTTTTCCAACACTCCTAGCATGTTATTAAAAAGGATCTTCTAGAGATGGTTAATAGCTTTTTGGTCTCAGGTGTTTTGGATGCCCGATTAAACATTACTCATATTTGTATGATTCCGAAGACAGAGAGACCCACAAGGATGACAGAGCTTAGACCGATAAGTCTGTGTAATGTTGGATATAAAATAATCTCAAAAGTATTATGTCAGCGGCTGAAACTTTGTTTGCCCAGCCTAATATCGGAGACCCAATCAGCTTTTGTTCCAGGGAGATTAATTTCGGATAATATTTTGATTGCACAGGAAATGTTTCATGGTTTGAGAGCTAATAAGTCTTGCCAGGGGAAGTTTATGGCGATAAAAACGGACATGAGTAAAGCGTATGATAGGGTGGAATGGACGTTTATTCAAGCTTTGCTCCACAAGATGGGTTTTGATTCTCATTGGATAAGACTAATGATGGCATGTATAACATCTGTCCAATATCGGGTCTTAATAAATGGTCACCCAAAGGGCCTCATTACCCCTCAGAGAGGCTTAAGGCAAGGGGATCCTTTGTCCCCTTATCTTTTTATTCTGTGTACGGAGGCTTTAGTTGCAAACATTAAAAAGGCAGAGCGACAGAAACGATTAACAGGGATGAAAGTCGCTAGAGCGTGTCCAGCGATTTCACATCTTCTTTTTGCGGATGATAGTCTGTTCTTTTGTAAGGCGCAACCGGCTGAGTGCCAAACCATATTTACCATACTGAAGGAATATGAGGCTGCCTCAGGTCAACTGATTAATTTTCAAAAGTCTTCAATTCAGTTTGGCCATCGGATTGGAGAAGTGGATAGACTGGAGATGAGGAATATATTAGGAATACAGAATATAGGGGGCATGGGAACATATTTAGGCTTACCAGAGAGTCTGGAAGGGTCCAAGATACAGGTTTTTGGATTTGTACAGGAAAGATTAAATAAAAGGGTTAATGGATGGACATTTAGATTTTTCACGAAGGGTGGGAAAGAGGTGATTATCAAATCAGTTGTTACCGCATTACCTAATCATGTGATGTCTTGTTATAGGTTACCTAAGACAACTACAAAGAAACTAACCAGTGCGGTAGCCAAATTTTGGTGGAGTCCAGGGGGGAGTACAAAAGGTTTGCATTGGAAATCATGGGATTAACTATGTCTTGACAAGGATGAAGGTGGTTTGGGGTTTAAAGACCTAGAGGATTTCAATACGGCAATGCTTGGTAAGCAATTATGGCGGCTAATTGAAAAGCCAAATACTTTGTTTTCTCGTGTTTTCAAAGGTCGATACTATAGGAATGGGTCACCTTTGGAACCGATCAGGTCATATTCTCCATCATATGGTTGGAGAAGTATGATCTCTGCTAGATCTCTGGTTAGCAAAGGACTTATTAAACGGGTGGGATCAGGATCATCTATCTCAGTATGGAATGATCCATGGCTCCCAACCACTCGCCCGAGACCAGCAACATCAAATCAAAATAATTTTAATCCAGACCTTACAGTAGACTCTCTCATCAACACAGATATGCGCACTTGGAATATGCAGGTTATTAGGGATTTGATCGACCCTCAGGATGTGAAAATAATAGAAAGCATTCCACTCGGGAGAACTGGTATGCAGGATAGAGATGGATGGCATTTTACCACGAACGGCAGATACACAGTTAAGTCAGGATACCAAGTTGAAAGGGTGTATCCTGATAGAGAACGACCAATGGGGATTTATGGACCTACAGTGGATACGTTAAAAGGATTTTGCTGGAAGTTACGGTGCCCTCCTAAGATCAAACATTTTCTATGGCAATTGCTCTCGGGATGTATTGCTGTTAAAAAAAACCTGCAGGGAAGAGGAATAAATGGTGACATAGGTTGTGACCGATGTGGAGCAGAAGAAGAATCGGTTAATCATGTTTTCTTTGAATGTCCTCCGGCACGACAAATTTGGGCTTTGTCAAAGATCCCTTTGAATCCGGTAACTTTCCCTACGGAATCCCTGTTTACGAATATGGACCATTTATTTTGGCGAGTTATTCCTCAGATGAATGATCATTATTTTGCATGGATATTATGGTACATTTGGAAAGGGCGCAATAATAAAACTTTTAGTAATCGGGATATAGATCCAAAGGACACATTAACATTGGCGGAAACAGAATCAACTCTCTGGGAGGAGGCTCAAATGACAGTGCCTCAGAGGGCAACGCAGACAGAGGTTGTTGAGACCTTACCGTCTATTGCAGGGCGTTGGTGTTTTATTGATGGTTCATGGAAAGCTAATGATGTGTTTGCTGGACAAGGTTGGTATAGTACACTCGATGGTTTCATGGGGTTGATGGGTGCAAGGAATGTTAGGACAAGTCTATCCCCACTCCATTCGGAGATGGAAGCGCTCATTTGGGCGATGGAAAGCATGAGGAATTTGCGTCAATATAATGTTACTTTTGCAACAGATTGCTCTCAATTGGTGAAGATGGTGTCGGAACCAGAAGAATGGCCAGCTTTTGCAAATTATTTAGAGGATATCAAGACGCTGAGAGAAGATTTCCAAAGCTCAGAAGTTATCTATGTCTCCAGAACTCTGAATTCACGGGCGGATAGTCTAGCACGCAGTGCCAGAAGACAATCGTCTTTCGTTGTTCACATGGATACAGAGCTCCCGGTTTGGTTCGCAGAGTCAGTATGAGTCTGTTTTATTGCTGTCAAAAAAAAAAAAAAAAAAAAAAACAAGTAATATAACATAAAAAAATCATTTGCAAGTAATTTATTTTGGGGCTTATTTGCTAAATAACTTAAAAAATAAGAAAAATTAGTTTTCTAATAAGAGGTTAGAGAGAGATAGAAAGAGAAATGAAGAGAGAAGTGAGTATTTTAGTTATTTAGTGAATTTAGGTTTACAAGCTCAAATCTAAGTGATTTGAAAACCTTGTTTGAAGGGTTTGATAGTAGAGTTACCGCAGAGATGAACATAGGATTAACTAGAGAGGTTTTTCCTGATGAAATTCGGAAAGCAGCATTCGGTATTAAAGGCAGTAGTGCATCGGGGGAAGATGGACTCACGGGTTTTTTTTATCAAAAATATTGACATATTGTTGGGCAGAAGATTATTGATGATGTTCAAGGGTTTTTTGAAACAGACATCCTTCCCTATGGATGGAACCATACACAATTATTTTTGTTACCAAAAGTGTTACCGCCTACGGAAATGAAGGATATGCGGCCTATCAGTTTGTGTAGTGTGCAATACAAAATCATTTCTCGTATTCTGTGTGACCGTTTGAAGATGGTCTTGCCAGGTATAATATCAGAGACACAAGGGGCTTTTGTAGGGGGCCGGTTAATTACAGACAACGTAATTATCGCACACGAATTGGTACATGGGTTGAGAACTAACGATAAAATTGGAACATAAAGTATGACTATTAAGACAGACATGTCAAAAGCCTATGATCGGGTAGAATGGAACTTCCTTGAAGCTTTATTAGAAAAACTGGGGTTTAATCGTAGATGGGTGGTATGGATAATGTCATGCGTTACCACTGTTACTTTCTCGGTATTGCTTAATGGATGTTCACATGGATTTATTAAACCAGAACGTGGAATTCGTCAGGGTGACCCTTTATCCCCTTTCCTCTTTATTCTATGTGCAGAAGCTCTTGTCCATGTCCTCAATAGAGCTGAAACACAAGGGAAACTCCATGGTATAAAATTAGCTACCGGCAGCCCTTCTGTCCATCATCATTTATTTGCTGATGATAGTTTTCTCCTTTGTGAAGCTTCTATTTCGGATAGTGAGGCAATTTAGAAAGGCTTGAAATTATATGGAGATGCGTCTGGTCAAATAATAAACCCTTTGAAATCTTCCATTATTTTTGGGAAGAAATAGCCGATGAGACCAAACAAAATATAAAAAGGGTTTTGGGTATAGAAAAGGAAGGTGGGGAAGGCTCGTATCTTGGCCTTCCTGAATGTTTCCAAGGTTCAAAAAAAGATCTCTTAAATTTTTATAAGGAAAAGCTAGAAGGTCGGCTTCAAGAATGGTAATCTAAAACTTTATCGATGGGAGAAATTATCAAAAAATCTCATATATTAATTAATAATGTTGAAGAAAAAACATAAAATTAAAATTATAAATTTACACAGTATATGACGCTAAAACGTAAAATCATATATTTAAAATGTATACAATAATATTAAATGTATATTTTATAAAATAATTAGTATATCCGCATGAAGGTGCGGATAGAATTCTATTTACGATTTATAACAAGGACTCTCTAAACTATCCCTTTTCTATTTTAGGATTTTCTTTCCTAAATCTACACTAAATCTACCACAAATCTCTTGTAATATCTTCTCTCCACAGTTGTCTCTTCTCCTCCCACTATATTTTTCTTTTTCGTCTATTCTTTTTCTCTCTCTTCTTTTTCGTCGATATAAATCGCAATTATCGCCATTGATGGAGCTTGAAAGTTTCGGCGAATAAGAGTTCAAATTAGGATAAAAAGTGAAATGGGACTTAGCTTTGTTTACCCTTTCACGATTTCTTTCTTTTTTACTTCCTTAATTTACTTTTTTCCTATTTTTTATAAAAAAATATATTACAAAATTTTATGTTAAATTATGAAAATTCAATGGTATAATGGTATTAAAAATAATATAAATCATAGTTAGATAAATAATCTTCTACTTCCCCAAATCTTAGTTCAAAGTGTCTCTTTTCTCCAATTTTCTCTTGAAACAAATATTATATTGTTCTTGTCTCTGCAATTACATATCCAAAACAAATATTCTCACACTGTAAACGCACAAACCCCGTTTGATCATGCAGCTTAAACCTACATGGACCCGCAAATTCAGCGATTTAAGCGTTACCGATGATTCCTCCACTGTTTTCAACGACTGTAACAGCGATAGATCCGTAGAGTTCCCAACAACTTCCTCCGAGAGCCGACGTCTCTTCCTCTCCTGCGACGTTGAGAATCCCGACGATCTAATCTGATTCTTCGTGGCGCAACTTGAATCTTCCATCGACGAGTAGAAACAAGATCAGGGCCGTAGAGTCAGGGATTATGAAGCCGTTGGCTGAGCTGATGGCTGATTCGAGTCCAACATGGTGGAGAAATCGGCTTATGTGATGAATTTGCTGATGTCGGCGGAGGAAGCTAAACCAGTGGTGGTGGAGGAAGGAGGAGTTCCGGTGCTTGTGGAGGCAGAGAGAGATTGTTGTGTCGATACTGTTGTAGCTTTGTGAGGAGAGTGTGGTGTATGGAACCATGGTGGCTCGTGAAGGAGCGATTGCTCCGGTGGAGGCTTTATCACAGATTAGCAAGAGTCGAGGTAAGCTAAAGGCGGAGGCGTTGATTGAGCTTCTCAGGCAACCAAGACAACTAACACCTCTAGAAGTTAAATTTATTAGTAATACCAGTGTATTTATATAGTTTTAGACTGTATATAACACACTGGTAGAAACAAATTTTAGAAATAATGTATTTTCTGAAATTCATCTCATTATGGCCTTCCCATCAAGACATTTGTAAGGAAGTAAAGGAGATTTTCTATGGAAATGGAAAGTTTTCTACAAAATTGAGAATTTAAGAATATTTTATGTCTTACTGGGCAAATATACACATATATGAACATATAATCACGTAATATATGAGATACGTCATCTAAAAATAAATAATAAAATGAAAATGAAGGTTAATAGAAAAATGCGTAACACATAGTAATTCAAAGTAGTTTAAGGTAGTTCAAAGTAGTACAATGTAGTTTCTAGTAATTCAAGTTACACATAGTAATACAAAGTAGTTCCTAGTAATTCAAGTTGCTCAATTCCATGATTCTTGGTATCATCAGTTTCATCATCGGTTTCATCTCCATCAGAAAGAATATTTTATGGCTGGTGTTGTTGTTCTTGTTATTATATTTCGTTATAGAAGCATGCAAGCAGAGAAAGAACGTGATGAGGTTCAAGCAGAGAAAGAACCTAATGAGGTTCAAGAAGAGGTTGGGATGAATGAAGCAGAGGTTCAAGCTGAGAAAGAACCTGAGGAGGCTCGAGTTCATGTCATTGCTGATCTCCACATGTAAAACACTTCTACATTTATCATGATTTACTTGCATGTGATAACCCAAAACGTCTTCATCAGTCCAAATATATGATGGTATGCTCGAATACAACACCATTAGAAAGTAACTAATCTTCAGCATCCCATCTCCATTTGCCTTAATCTTTCTGCATATACTATCAACCAATTCAGAATATGTAACCTCTTCCACAGATGTTTTCATCACTAGAGTGTGAATTTGATCTTCTCCTGAGATCCACTTTATCTCATGCCCATACTTGATGTAACTTCCTCCATAGTCAAAACATATGACTGTAATGGGAGAAGCCATATAATTCCCTGAAAAAATAATTATGATTAGTTTACCATTTAAAGAATATAAGTTGTCTAAGATCTTTGGTACATAGTCGTTTCAGTAATACAAGTAATACACGTTTCACTTTAATAATACCAGTCGTTCCAGTAGTTCTTATAAATTTTTGCTTTTCTCGATTTAACACTTATAATTGATCATGAGGGTGTTATACAAATCACAATATCGTATACCACTATTGTAATGCATTATTATGGTTTAAAACAGTGCAAAATAAGAAGAAATATACAAAATACTATATATCCTTCATTTCATAAAGAATATAGTTTTATTACATTAATTTTAAAACTATAACTGTGACTATTGAAATATATATTTTACTAAATTTATATATTTGAAATGTTTTTAATAAGATCTGGTTAAAAGAAGAAATCTTTTTTTCGTATAAAATCGGAATTTATATAAATATTTCATTAAATTTATTTTTGATTAAAATATTTTGAAATAAATATATTATTAAATTTTATTTTATAATATTTTTATATAACCAAAATATATAGAAATATTTTAACAAATTTCCTTTTGATTTAAATATTTTTATTACCATGAAAAAACCAGTGACAAAAAATAAAAAAATAAATATTTTATTAAATTATATTTTTTGAAATATTATTGAAATAATTTGTATAATATTTTTGAAACTATTTTTTGATTCAAATAAAAAAATATATTTTAAATTTCTAAAATTTATATAAAAGAGATAAATTTTTAATTTAGGAAAAGTAATTTATAGATATTTTGTAAATTTTATTTTTGAAATTAATTTTTGATTAAAATATTATTTAAATAATTTTTTATTTTATATTATTATTTATAGAAAATTATTTTAAGATGTACAGAAAATTTTTATTTTGTTTTCATAATTTTCATTAGTAATAAAAAAAGTATAATATTTTTTTTCATAAAATTGTGCCTTAAAAATAATCTGGGAAAAAAAAAATTCTTGTCCAAAACAAATTGTGGGACCCGTTCGGAAAATAAGAAAAAATAAAAAAAGAAAATATAAAATAAAAAGAAAAGGTAAGAAGGTAAAGGGGAAAATGGTGGGGTAGTGAGATAAAAGATGGGGTAGTGAGAATAGATATTTTGTAAGTAGGGTAATATAGAATACTTTCCCGATTTGGAAGACAGACACGGGGAGAAATATTTAGGAAAAAAAGGGTTTGAGAGAGAGACAGAGAGACACAGGGACGATTTCGATTTCGCCGACGAACGGATTCTGTCGATTTAGGAAAGAGAGGATTCTGTCGATTTCGATTCTAGGGTTTCTGATTTTGTTCGATTTGGGGAAAATGAGAAACACTTAACTAGAGAAAATTTAGGAAAAGGGGATTTGAGAGAGAGACACGGGGAGAAAGAGAGGGTTTGGGAGAGAGACACTGAGAGAAAGAGAGGGTTTGGGGAGAGACAGTGAGAGAAAGAGAGGGTTTGGAGAGAGACCCACGGGTCACGCCACGGAGCCGGGTCGGATCAAATAGAAGGAGGTTGGGTCTGTAAATATTAAGTTTTATTAGGGGTAATTTCGTTTTTTACTACGTTTTCGATTAAAATATGAATAAAAATATAATCTTTTTTATTGGTGGGGCAATATAGAATAGCGATGGGAGTGACTGGGGTAAGGAAGAATACGACTCGTACAGATAGTCAGATATTTTGTTTCATCGGAAATGCCCAGTGATTTGGGCTTTTTCTAATGGGCCTTTATAGAGCACATCTCAAGTGGCTATCAGAAAAAACTTCGTCATTTACCCTATATACTTTGATCAAGGTCAAACTTTATAATCTAACTAGGTGAACTATATACCTGAGATTCTGAGAGAAACCATGTTCAGCTTTGTTAACCCAGCTTAGTAAAAAAAATCTACGTGAATGTAATAAAACTACATAATAAAGTTAATAATTCCATGATCATCATAACTCTTTAGGAAAAAGGAGATTTGGATACCCATCGTAACTCTTTAGGAAATAGGAGACTTGGATACATCTATTCTAACTTGGCCTGAAAACTATTTACATGTCGATGTGTTTAGACAAAGAATGTATGCGATTTTCACATCAAAGTTTTTTAAGAGATAATATATGAATGATTTAGAAACAAGGTCCCCGGAACTAAACAAGACAACAACAGGTCAAAACATCGATAGATTCTTGGACATACAGTAATGGAGAATAATACCAAAATAAATGCAAGACAAAAGGAATAGATCCCATATTGGTTAGACACGCTACTAATTATATTAATTTTCTCAACTAAGACATGGTACTACTACTAATTGATTGCTCTAATATTGAGTGCATTCCTATACAATCTCCTGAGTAAGTTATTATCCATGAAGTTTGATAGCATTCAATATGTTTTTTTGAAGCATGTGATATGTTTGTATCAAAGCCATTTTGATTATTCGAAGAAAACATCCTCAACCACATGTAGAAAACACGAGTCTCAAAACTTATCAATCCTTCTGTGCTGTGAACTAAAAATTCATATCTTCAACAGTGTTGATAATAAATTCAAAAGTATTGACAATAAATATCTGTTTTTCAAAGACAACGATACAATAGTGTTGACAAATGACTATACAGTAGCTGTTTTATTAATATGATGATAAATGATTCGCTGTAAATCATAAACAAAATCTTATCTTTCTATGGTGACGACTGATGAGCACACCACCAGTTTCTCAGCCATTGGCTCTACCTACATTCTTTACCATTTTTCTTTTTTTTAACTTTTGGTCAACGGCTCTGCTATGGCTTTAAATACTAACTTCAATTCACACAGCCGACACATCATCTCTCTCAGTCACATTTTTATTTTATTTTTAAAATTTAATAGTATAGTTTTATTACTATATCATTAGTTCTTTGTTTTCTCTCATATCAGTATATAGTTGAGGTTACAGTATTTGAGGAGGAACAACATGTGTTTCACGAACACATAAAAGTCTCTCTGTTTCTTTTCTTTTCCTTTTTAAGGAACATTATCTCTCTGTTTCTTGGTTAACTTTCACTAGAAAAAAAAACAAAATGAAGGAATCATTCAAAGTGTGTTTCTGTTGTGTAAGAAGCTTCAAAGTGAAAACAAGTGAGCCACCTCAAGAGATCAAGAAACTCTTCAATGATTACTCTGGAGACGGCAGGATGTCTGTTGATGAGATGCTCAGGTTCGTGATCGAAGTTCAAGGAGAAAAACACGCAGATACGAACTACGTGAAGGATATATTCCACAGGCTCAAACATCACGGCGTTTTCCACCCTCGTGGGATTCATCTTGAAGGGTTCTACCGTTATCTCCTCAGTGATTTCAACTCTCCTTTGCCTCTCTCCGGCGAGGTAAAGATATGTTTACTTTAAGAGAGGTTTTGGTTTACTTGAAATCTGTTTGTATATGATTATGGTTTTTCAGGTTTGGCAAGATATGGATCAGCCTATATCACATTACTTCTTGTACACGGGACATAACTCTTACTTGACTGGGAATCAACTCAACAGTAAAAGCAGCACCGAGCCTATTGTGAAAGCTCTTAGAAGTGGAGTTCGTGTCATTGAGCTTGATCTATGGCCTAACTCTTCGGGAACCGAAGCTG